TTTAGAAAAAATTTTTCTTAAAAAATTTATTTGCAATAATCTGAGGTATCTATCTTTTTGCACCGGACCATATTAACATTATAATAAAAGTATGATTGCAAACGGTAGTCATAATATATAATAATGTTTGAGTTCCGCAAATAAATGCATTATATTAATATTGGACTTTCAATCGAATATCATGTTATATTAATATGCTTTATTATATAATATTAGCAGTATCAGACCTCAGACTTCTTGGTTTATAACGATAATAAATAAATAAATAAATAAATAAATCTCCCAGGAAGTAGCAACTTAATATTTTTTCGGCCTTCTCCTCGTGGGAGTTTCTATAGTGATTGATCTCGAATTTTGCACCCGCGCTGTATATGCATCATCTTTCTTGCCTTCCAATTCGATCTCAACCAGCTAGCTTCGACGCCTCAATTATCACACCATTCTATAAGAAAACCATAAGCAAACTTATAATTAATTAAATTTGCATGATGTTAATAGTAATGAGCAATTATACTTACCCTTATTAAATTCCAAAATCTGTCAATCAGATTTTGGATCTGCTCTTCCCATTTCCCCTTTCTCTGGCAGGGAACTTCTAGCGAACAGATTGAACTAACGACATATACGTGTGGGAATGGCATATTCAAAGCGAATATGTCAATGGTCTCTCCATAAGATTGCACGCCGTATGCCAGCATACTTTTTGCAATCTTATACGTCTCTTTATCCAATCTGTTCTGGGCAACTGCCAGTAGGCGATCATCAAGTACATCCTTCATGCAACGGAAGAGCTTGCACCTATCGGTGTAGAACTTATCTTTGTCCGGGCTGAAGGGTTTTCCCGAAAATTCACCTATGACAATTTCCCACCGTCTTCCCTTTCTATCGCGCCACATCAGATCATAGTCAACTTTGTAGCCAGGTCGCTCCTCCTACGTTGTATAGTAATAATACGATTTGTTAGCATTCATAATCTTATGTTACCGTAAAATTTTTATATCATAAACGACAGTAACCTTTCTATTAAACAATAAAACATTAATATATAGATAATAAATATTATTTATATTAATTGCATAAAAATTCTAATCATAATACTAATTATAATAGTATATATATACAGATAGTCATAGCCCACTTTATTTTTAGTGAATTCACTCTCATAACAAGAGTAAGAATTTGGTGTTTTTCACACTTACATCATCTTCCGTTTTTGCCCTTGCCATGCGACCTTTGTACTCGCAGAGTAAAACTCAGCCCTTAAATAGATTTGATATTAATACTAATACTCGCTAATATTATCAAATTACATATGAATCGCTTTACGTAACCGTACCAGCGAGTTTTAACATCTACCACCGAATCACAAAGCCTTCTTAGGATGATTTGCAGCAACTCTATAGTCCATGAGTCTTCACTCACAGATGTGTCAGCAGTGTCATCTATAATATCATATTTGAATGTCCTGTCACTAAAGCAAGAGATTACGTGTATAACATAAGCTATATTAATTTGAATATTAATACACAAAGCAGATTAAGATGAGAAGACATACAACTCTTCCACGAAATTTGTAATATATGGTGAGAGTCCAACAGGAAATCTAGATGTAGCAGGGATATGGACGGCACGAGTGTCTGCCCTCAGAACAGCAGCAGTGACTTTATTGCCATAATAATCAACCCTAGCCCTATTGCTATAAATGTTGACACATTGAGCTGGAACTTCACACTTTGATTTCAGTAGAAATCGGATGTAATTCAGCTCTTCTTGGGTTAATGTAGATGTGCTGACATCTTGAGTAGACTTTAAATATCTTAAGTCATTCTCAGAACCAGCTTCTTTAAATGGAGTACAGTTCATGATTGAAATAAGTCTCTGAACTGAAATTATTCCTGATCTCTGTTACGGCAAGCTGATCTGATGAATCAGATAAGTTAGTCACATGATAAAATCTTCCAAACAAACCCATGATCGGGCACTAATTTTAGTTTAGTAATACAGATATTAATTTAGTAGCGTGTCGCAAAATATGTGACAGCACAAACGCTAAA